CAGCCGGATTTCGCCGTCGCTCCCCCTTCGTTGTCACGAAATACTCGTACTCGTTTTTCCTCCTGCAAATTGCAGCTAGTTTCCAGAAAGATTTAAAAGTTCACGACGAAACATTTCGACGATCGAATTTCGATGTACAATCGTTGCGTTGCTCATAGAATCGAGATTTTTATACGCCTTACTAACTCTACGTTTACTTTGTTCTTTTTTTTTTTTTTCTTTTTCTTTTTCTTTTTCCTTTCCGGAGCAAAGATCGTTGTTCGTTATATAAAATATGCTTAAAAGGAATTTTCGTTTTAATACTACGTTTGGTGTTCCACTCGTTGCACGAAGCTTACCTAGTTACACAGGGCTCGTTTAAAAGATACCAGAAGCTAATCAAGCCGTACGAAGCACGTGCCTCGTCCGTCGAAAGGCAAACCGCGAAGCCACTGATTACTCGATCGCTCCCAACCGATCGGACCGATAAGTAGGTCAATCTGGTTCTGAATCTTGAAGACGCGGGAGCGACGCTTGTTCGTTGAGAGACATTGGGTAGAAAATATTGCTTTGAAAGACGGGGGAAAGACGATGAATTTCCATCGCGGGGCGCGAGGAATCCGGCCAGCCGTGGCGCCAATTTCGAACGGGGATCGCGAGACGCGGAAGAGCGTGGTTTAGGTTTAGGTTCAGACGATCGAAGAATTGTCTGCCGAAGCAAATCATCGTTCTCCATCACGTTAAACTTCGATGTTCGCCTCTATATGTATAATTATATAATTCGTTGTGTCGAAACATTGCTTTTTGACCGTACGCGTCGTCATTATTACTTTTTTTTTTTTTCCTTACTCGTTATATTGCGTTCTATAAAATATGTGTATAACAATGTTACGCATCTATTACTCGAATCTGCTCTAAATATTACTTGCAACGCGCTTCGTGTGCCGTGTGTCTGTGTGTATGCTTGAGTCTGTTTCTCCTACGTGTTCCTGTGTCTACTCGTGTGTGTGTGTGTGTGTGTGTGTTACGCATGTTAGAATTTTATTTTATATCGCGCGAGCAGCTTGCGTATATAGCCGGTCGTGTAAACCGTGGAAACACGTTGGAAATATCGCAAATACGACAACCTCGAGGCGGCTCGATCGATGCCCACGTGTCGTTAACACGTTCTATGCCACGCGCCACTATGTCGATGACTCTCTCTCTCTCTCTCTCTCTCTCT